CTTTTTGCCCACTCATCGGCATTTGTAGATCCCCAAACTCTTTATCAATGTCTCTTGACTTGCTTCCTTCCATCTACCTAGAACTCTAGGCTGCAGGTAGAAAAATCCTTTCTTTCAAGGTCTTTGCTGAAATAGTGAATTCTTCCTGTTGAGTTGTAAGTCTGTCAAAATAAACTGAGGGCAATTATAGAATGGCAGCTCTGAGGCCCAGCCTGTCAAATTCTGTGAAATGCCTAAGTTTGGTCAATTCACATTTCTTGCAAGCATCATGCTCAGCCATGAATGTTCTTTATTTTTTAATTACTATAGATTCTTCCATTCAATTTAATTCATTTAGAATGAGAAGAAAGCCTGACCTTATGTGACATTTGATGAATACATGTGAGTTGATTTGTACAGGAGCATTACATGCAATTCATTCAAAGAATAGGGCTGTGTTCAGACAGACTGTTACTTTGGGGTAATGTTTATAACTTTTACTAGCATATATTTAGTGTGATTTTTAGTTAATTTCTAATTGATTTTTTTTTCTTTTCTTGTCTTGCTTTGACTTTGACACATGGTCTTCCTGGGTGTACAGCTCTGGCTATGCTTAAACTTGTCATAGAAACTACACTGGTCTTGAACTTAGATATCTACCTGACCCTGTCTCCTAGTGCCAGGATTAAAGAAGTGTACCACCAAACTTGGCATTGATTCCTAATGCAGATTATGACATCATGTTTTTCTTTTACTGATACATCATTACATAATTATGAATTGTTGACTAACTTTGCTCTGCTGAGTACTAGAAAATGGGGCAGTTATAGGATATGGCAAGAAATAATTAACTTGACTTTTGGAATAAGGGCCCAAAAAAACTTGGAGTCCAATGGGACACAAAGTTCTTTGCAAGACTCTTATACAGCAGACACTGATGTGCCCTCTACCTATCTTCCTCCTTAGCCTTCAAGGATAGTGAAAATGGAAGAGGCTCGCCCAAGTACTTGGTTCCCCTAGAGACACTCACAAGAAACTCATGATTGTTTTTGGCAATTAGAAACTGGAAAAAAGTTTCAGAGTTCCTCCTCCAAAAGCCAACACTGTCATTGCCACTGTGGGTGAAATGAAGATTGTAGTTCAGAAGGGACATGAGGTCATAGAGAACTAGACCTTTATCTCAGCTTGAGATGCTGTCTTCATCCACAGTGCTGGCTATCAGGATGTCAGGAGCTGCAGACTGAGAAAAGGCACCTGAGAAAGCAGGAGGCAAGTGAACATTTCTATTTCAGCCTTGAAGACAGATTATAAAAAAAGAATGGAGATTTTGTAAGTGCTCAAATATGGAGAATGAATTCTGGGGTAAAAACAGATGTAGAGCAAATTCTGTCAGTGGAGAAGAAGATTTTCTGTGCTCTGATAAAAACAACTAAAAAGAGCTGTTTCCTGAGCTTGTACACATAACTAATATTATGTAATGAAATCTTTGAGCATGAGTTTTGGGGATTGGAAATAATGTTGAAATCTGATTTCAAATGTAATTAAGGTTTATAGTAATTAGGCCATTAATATTTCCATGTAAGCATTTTACATAAATCATTGGTGAGTGTTTGGTATGATTATCTTAGCTGGTAGAATAATGATTTCATGTTTATAATAAAGACTGTAATAGAAAAAGAATCATCTAATTCTGGAGTGCAGCGTATTTTCTAGAATAAAGAACATTATGATGTAGTACTGTATTCATGTCTGGGCTAGGAGCTGTATCTAAGTCATTGTTGATGATTGCTGAGGTCACTCTCACTCTTGAGCTAGAGAACACACTGTTGAAGGGAAGGTTACTGTCATTATGAAACTTGCACAGCTCTCAGTAAGCACAAATTTCTTAAGTCGTTTCATTTAGTTTGCTGTTATAGCAATGCTACTCTCATCATTGGGATGCATCTTCCAGATTTCATTGTTTATGTTGAAACCGAGAGCTTTGTGCCTGTTAGGCAAAGAAACAACCATTTGCCTACATTTGTGGCTCATGTTAATCTTTATAATTCAAATTTTCAGAGGCACAGCTTTTATATTATACAGATTCTGTTTCCTTTATTCTTTTAAGGTTGCTTAAAGCTTTTGTTTTATCAATAAATAGTTAGATCAATCATAGCCATAAGTAAATATAAGCCTTGACCTGAAATTAGCAATATTTTTTTCATGTAATTTGTGTGTACATATATCTGCATTCATGTTCTTGCCTAATTGAGTATATTTATGTGTGTCCAGAGCACAATGTCAGTTGTTATTACACAGATGATATTTACCTTTTTAATTATTCATCTATTTATTTTAAATATTGACACAGCCTCATTCCCATCTACCTCCCAGGTCCTTCCCCTCCATTCCCCCTGCCACCCTCTAATCTCCTCCTCTCCCATCTTTATGCTGGAAAGGGAAAGTCTACCTTGAGTATCAATAAACCATGACATACCAAGTTGCAGGGAAACTCAGCACCTCCCTTTGTATTAAGACTGAGCAATGTGACCCTGTTTGCGGGGCAGGGTCCCAAAAGCCAGTAAAAGAGTCTGAGACAGCCCCTGCTTCCACTGTTAGGAATCCCACAGGAGGAACAAGCTACACAACTGTAACATATATGCAGAGTCCCTAGGTCAGTAGCATGCAACCTCCCTGGTTATTGGTTCAGTTTCTGCAAGCCACTATGAGTCCATTGTTCATTATATGAGCCTTTCTATGGTGTCTTTGACTGCTCTGGCTCCAATAATCCTTTCTCTTCTTTTCCCTTGTTTTTAATTGTGAAAGATTCTCCCTGGCTTGGAACTGTATGAGTAGACTAAGTTGGCTTGTGAATGAACCCAGGAATCTTCACATCCTATCTCCTCATTGTTTAGGTACAAGTGTGTACCACACAACCATATCTTTTAGTGTGAATTCTGGAAATTGAATCCATTCCATATTCACAAAATGCAGTGTACTGACTGAACTATCTCGTTTTGACAGTAATAAATTAATTTATATGACAGTATTTTATTACACATTAGCTTTTATGTTTTAAGAGTCAATGTAACATTGTTCAGCAATTCATTTGACCGATTCCACTGTTTTTGCCATGCAATGTCAAAATTATATCTTGCAGTAAGTAAACACTGGGTCTAAGTTGCTTTCATGAAATTGAATTTTGACAAGGGAGGTCTCTAAAGCATTGGATTACAAGTTAACACTGCATTGTTTTATAATGTCAGAAAGTTAGGATTCAATGATAAATTATGAATCAATCTATGTATGAACTAAGAATTGAAAATGTTTCTTAAATAGTACTGTTGAGCCCAACACTACGGGTTTTGTCACAGGAAGCCTTTTTGTGTTCACATTCCTCAATTCTCCCTACTGCTCAAAACCGTTATGAATTTTGACAATCCTTGATGAAACATTCTCTAAGACCATGTCTTGACAATGAATGGAACACCATCTTTCACATGACACATTAATGAAAATCATAGAAGATGTTGTAGGAACAAGATTGCAAATTCTGTTTTCAAGTTTTAAATTTAATTGCAGGGAGCCTCTTACCATAATAAAACCTTAAGTTACTCCTTATCAGTGAGAATACATGACTTCAGTTGATGTGATAAATGTCACCACATTGAGTGATCTTCTGTGGAATCTTAAACTCTGTATAGAATCTAAAGACAAGTGTCACAGGAAACTGGCAGAATGATTCTAGGGATTGGGAAGTAGGAATGGTCCAGAGACTCTCAGGACAAAGAGGGAATGCTGGATGATATCTCTCTTCTGCATATCACCTCCTCCTTTTATACACTGAATATGAGTTAAGGTCATTACACTTGGTTTTTCAACACGTGGTGTATCTCACTTTCCAGTCACTGTCTTTCCAGGTGTCTACAGGTTTTGGCAGGTCTTATATTGGACATTTTTCATTGTTTCAGCATTATTTTCTTGTTCTGCAAGATCTGGCATGATGGACTAATCACCACCATCACTTTATGTGTGTTCGGTAATCACAGCAAACCAGGAACTCCATGAGGGTGAGTAACAATGATACCAACTGTGCTGGACTTTCAACTGACACCTGCAAGATTTCATATTCTGGTGAATTTCATTTATTGTACTTGTTTCTTTATCTAATAGAGACCAAAAATCAAGAAGTGTAAAATTTCCCTCTTCATTACAAATGATTGATTGAACACTATGTTGTTTTAATTATATCCTCATCATTAATATTCATGGATGTTTCATGCTTGGCCTTATGAAGTGGGTCTCTGGTTCTATAATATCAATCAAGAGAAAAATGCCAGCAGCCCTTCAGACAAATCCAAGGTACCTTTCTTCCAGTTCACATTTCTTTTTAAATATTTATTTGTTGATATCATTAGCACATGAGAGTGTGAAGGGGAAAATGAATTAGCACTAACTTTCAACATAACATCATTCAATTTGATATTTGAATCTTATGATCAGTACATTTTATGCTAGGTAATAAATATTGTATTGCTTAATCACTGAGAAATATGTACATTGTGGTTATAACATTTCATTATTTACATTTAAACTTTTGATGAGAAATCTCAGAATGGATTTATTTTCTGGTGTAGACATTTATATAAATCTCTTCTTTTCTCATATGAGTGATTGTCAAAGCTTATCCTTAAAATAGACAATTTAGTGTTCTCTTCATTTTCTGAGAAGAGTCAATGCTTTTACCAGGGTAATAATGCTGTGTTCTAAATGCTGAATATTCAAAGAAAGACAATTGGGTATTTACTTTATAAATGTGTGCCTTTGCAGACTAAAAGCAGTCCTAATGAGAGTAATTATTTTTGCCAAAATATTTAGCATTTTAGGCTGAATCTTGCTACACTGCACACATTGGCTTATTTCCCTGAACTCAAGTGATTCTCCCCATATTGATATCCTAGGCAACAAAATATTGAATTCATCATTTTGCTCAGAGATGTAATTGTTGTTATAACTTAAAGAAAAAGTTCTTAAATGACAAAATGGACTTGAGGAATTTTACAATAAGAATAATGTTCTTAACACAAAGTACAGTTGGAATTCTAGGAAATCTTGCCCTTCTTTTAAACTATATAATTATTTACTATAATGAACATACATTGAAGCCTACAGATTTGATCCTCACACATTTAATCACAGCCAACTTTTTGATCATTCTCTCTAAAGGAGTTCCCAATACAATGGCAGCTTTTGGGATGAAACAATTCTTCAATGATTTTATGTGCAAACTTTTTTTATATATTCAAAGACTTGGCAGAAGCATGTCTATGGGAACTACATGCCTCTTGAGTGTCTATCAGGCCATCACCATCAGCCCTTATAAATCCTTTTGGAAGAATTTTAAATTCAAATCTCCAAACTACATCAGCCTCTGTATTTCTATCTGCTGGGTGCTGCACAGTGCCATAAATTTCATTTTCCCTGTGTTTGTGCATATCAAAAGGAGTCACAAAAATGCAACAGAGAAAAGAGATTTTGCATACTGCTCCTCTTGGGGTCGTGATAAAATTGTAGAATCACTGTACACAACATTGCTGGTGTTCCCTGAAGTCGTGTTTTCTGTGCTCATCATCTGGTCTAGTGGCTCCATGATTACCATTCTGTACAGACACAAGCAGCACATTCAACACATTCGGACCACTCAAGATTCCCTCAGAACCTCCCCTGAGGCTAGAGCCACACAGAGCATCCTGGTTCTGGTGTCTTCTTATATAGCTTTTTATACCCTTTCCTCTATATTACAAGGTTTCATTGCTGTTCTGTCTAAACCCAATTTGTTCTTGATGAACATCACAGCCATTATTTCTATGTGTTTTCCCACTTTGTGCCCTTTTCTAATGAATTGTAGCTTCATTGTGCTCAGATTCTGCTTATTCAGCATAGGTAATATAAAAAAGCCAGTGATTGTTTCATAGGTGTGTGGATTGCTTATTTTTGCATCTTATTTATTTGTTAATCACCTATGTCCATCAGAATATCAACATGAAAATGATGACGGAGTCCTCTTATATGTATTGGGTTTTGCAGTAACTATCCTTAATATTATCAGCATCAGAGCTGAATTAATATAGTTGCTGTTATATTATAAATAAATGACATTTATTTTTTTTACTTTTTTTTGTTTTTGTTTTTCAAGATAGAATTTCTCTGTGTAGTTTTTGTGCCTGTCCTGGATCTCACTCTTTAGATCAGGCTGGCAGTTCTGCCTGGCTCTGCCTCTCGAGGGCTGGGGTTAGAGGTGTGAGCCACTGCCCCCCGTTTAGCATTTTTTAAAATGTTTTCTTATATACAAGTTCATGAGTAAAAGTAATGAGTTTATCTCAGATCTTCAAAGTCATTTTCCACAACGTGGTTGACTAAGTTATCTCAGCATAGGTTGAGTCTGATAGAAGCAAACACGGTGGAAATCGAGTGGTGGCTGATGTTAAGAAATAACTTTTTTAGATTTCTTCACGGTTACTTTTATGTCTTATGCACACAGATTTTGCTTTGAATTTTCTGTCTTATTTTGTGTTATAAAGATCATTGGGAGACAAAGACAGTGTCAGTCTATGGAATGGATGAACAAAAAGCTTTAATACAGCAGGAGACAAGTTAATATCTTCATCTCGGGCAAAGTGTTAGACAATTTTCTGTATGAAATTGTCTTTTCCCAGCGCCGTTATGTTAGAAGTAGCCAGATGCTTGTGTACACATGACTCTCACCAATCAATTGAGATTAAGAATGGTGGCCCCAAGGGATCAGTTGCCATTGGAATATTCATATTCTCTTCTCTTTCCCAAGTATTAAATGATGTTATTCATACTCAAGAATCTTATCTCTTTAAGCCAGTTCTATTGAAGAGCCACGAGTTAAACTCAACCTACCAAAGGTGCTGAAAGTAGTTACAATTATCATTCCAAAGAAGAAATGTAGAAAAATCATTAGAGATAACTACAAAATGGTACTTATATTCTCTAAGTCACAAGTTTAAGTCTCTAGGCTGTGTTGTATTCTTTGGAGAACCAATAACTCTTTATATAGTGCTGAAGATTTCCCTTGTACAGACATATGAAACACTAATGTGATATATAACTTGATTACTGGTATAAATATACTATGAATAACTTAATATGAAAGAAATTTGTTGAATCAAATAAACTTCTTCAAATATTGAATCCTGATACAACTAACTACAGGTGTGTGTTGATACATTAGGTTTTAAATAATTAATTTATTTTTGGTGATGAGAGAATACATAAGCAAAAAAGGATGTTCAGAGAATATCTGAGTTATTAAGAGGGTATCAAGCTATGGAATATGTGATACTAGATTTTGGGGAAGATTACAGTGTACTCTGATTATTTGGAGGTAATGTGTTCCAAATCACATGTAGTGCAAAAGAAAAACATGTAATACAAATACATGTAAAAAAATAAACAAAAAACAAAACCAAATATATGTAATACAAAAACTATACAAACCATGATTTCCCCATTTTATACACATAATCTAAATGTTTTGAAACTTTGGGCTGGAAAAGTCGTTAAATGTTTGGAGGTTAATAAGCTTTTGTGGGAACTTGGAAGATAATGCAAAAAACAGTGCAGATGATGGAGTCCTGGCTTGTAAAGTTTTAAAAGGTAGTAGAGTTTTTATCATGGTTATTCTTATGCTACATTTAATTCTAATCTGTTTTTCTAGACATCTAGGGATGAAGAACTAGTTTATAGGTACAAGAGACTAGGGCCATCGAAGTAAAATCTTTGTTTTTCTGGTCCAATAGATGTTAGTTATCTGGGGCCAAGAAATTAAAATGGAGGGATTAAAAAGAGACTCAGAGGGGAGAAATGTTTTGTGAGAACTTATTCAAGGTCAGAATCTAGAAGCTCTGGTCCAGCATGGGCAAAGTCTTTATCTCATGCTGCTAGCTAAATTTGGTAATGTATACGATTCTTCTACATGTTACTGATCTTGAAGGCATAAAAGGGTCATGGAGAACAGCTAAAGCTTGGTACAGAGAGAGTGCATATTCACCCTCATAATCAAAAAATTATGTCTTTTTTCATTTTACTGACAACAGAATTGGGAGACATTGGACATTTATGAAACCATTGAGATTTTAAAGAGAATTTGGAATTTTCAAATGTTGTCATTTTCAGACTTCTGGACTATTAAAAGTTCAAATACTTTAATTTGTTGTGCTGTTATTAATATGAGATCTTAGAAATACATGAACACATAAAGTTTATTGGTTCAATATCAATATGATTGTTAGTGAAGTATATAAGTTATCATTTGTGGGTTTTTTTTTTGTCATCTTGGCAGAGTCATCTGACAAGAGGGAATATCAATAAAGAAAATGACACCATCACACATTCTTGATTGATGGTTCATGTGGAATAACTCAGCATACTGTAGTCAGTGTCATCCTTGGGCATGTGATCCTGAATAATATAAAAAAGTGGTCAGAGTGAAGCAGTTAGAGCAAGTCAGTAATAGCATTCCCCATGGTCTCTGCTTCAGTTCCTATTTTGAGATCCTTTGCTGAGTTCTTTTCAAACTAATACAATTCACAGAAAAACTGAGGTGTGGTCTGTGTACTGTGCATGGTCTTGTGGTGTCCGGTACAATGTTTGCAGCTGTGGCTAGGCTATGGGGCAACTATAGTAGAGCAGTCAGTTGAATACACAACCAAAGCCTCAAAGTGAGCTTTTTCATTTTACCCTATCCAAATATTAGCTCTCTCTCTTCAGCTACATTTTACTACTGAAAAACCATACATTTTACTACTGAAAAAATAAACTGTGGATAATTGAACCCATATAAACTACCAAGCCAAAAAGAATACCTCAGAAGACCCTCAAAGTCAAATTCGGAGAATTTTCACTAACATCTCTGGGAGATAGGTCATAATGACAATTCTCAGGTTGTATTGTGTAATGTATTTGTGTATATATTATATAATAGCAATTATTGAACAAAGAGGTAATTAATTTAAAGTACAGAACAGGTAAGTTTAAGGGAAAATTTTTGGGGAAGAATGATAAAGGAGAAATGATGTAATTACAGTGTTAACTCAAATATAAACAAAAATATTTAAAAATCAACAAACAAAAACCAGACAACTCACAATTTTTCACAGTTGTTCTGCTCAGAATTTGGTGTGTTTGAACAATTCTACTCATGAGTTCTCTTCCAAAAAACAATGATAATTGTTTAGTGAAGGGTGGTAAGGACAGGGGCCGTCTCATGTGGAAACGGGTTTCAGTAAGAATGGACGAGCAGGGGTGAGATGGGAGTGAAGAGAGCTAGAGCTATCCCGGATTTTTTTTTTCATATGAAACTGGGAATTGTCCTTTTACATTGATGAATGAGCACAGTAACTTCTAGTGCAGATTATGACAGCAATTTTTTCCTTTCACCCATATTTCAGAAGATATTCCTGAACTTTTGACAAACTCTTTTCTCCTGAGTGCTCTAAAATAAGGCAGTTGTGGGGTGTGGAAATTAATAATTATCTTGATTTTGGGCTCTTTGATATATATAATGGCCTGGAGTTTCATGAGACACATAGATGTCTCTGCAAGACATTCAAACATCAGACTTGTATATTCTCCATGATGTCCAAAAAAGGTATGTCACCCCTTAGAAATCATGAGAATGTATGAACCTCTTCAGTCTATCTCTTTGGATACACAGTGAAGACAGTCATAATTGGTTCTGGTAATTAGAAACTGAAAAACTTTCACAGAAGTCCTAGACTCCCAAATCCAGAGCTGACATCGGCACATCAGGTAAAGTTGCAAAATTGTGATTCTGGAGGGAGAAGAGGTCACAGTCACAGGCCTATATCTCAGGCTTGTTTTGCCACCCTCTCCCACAGGCTTCCGAGAATGGTGTCTCCTCTATATCATGAGCTAAATGCTCTTCATGGAAAAGGAGCCAGATTAGCTTACTGTATTTTGATGTTGAAGAAAAAAACAGCAGGGAAGGAAATACTAATAAATATCCATGCCTGAAAAGGTGATTCTGGCATGGAAACAGATGAAGTATAGATTCAACCAAAGGAAAGAAAGACTTTCTGAGCTGTAAGATGAGCTAATGAAGAGAAAGATGTTCTGTAATTGTGCTAATACCTCATGTAAATAATATAATGTGATGAAATTTTCTCTGATCACATATATGGAAGATTGTAAATTTTGCTCGAATCTCTCATTGAAGGGGACATAAGGACAGTAGTAATTAGGTCACTAATTTTTCCATCTCCATATCATTTCTATGAATCATTATATATTTTTTGTGTAGTACACATTGATGGCCAAACATATAGGTTGACAGGAAGCAACTATGACTGCCATGTAAGTTACTTAAGACATCTGGGCTTCAAAAGAGCCACTGCAGTTAGTCAAGCTATTTGGTTGATAGTCCTGTAGCCAGTCTAGAATGAAAAGAAAGATTCAAATTATCTATCTGTAACATATTAGCTTACTTAAAGTCGATGCTCACAATGAAGTCCTATTGTGAACAGTAAAATCAGATAGACCATATATTGAAGTATTCTTAAAATGGTCAATCCTGTCACGATGCCTGTGGATTTGTCCATCTCTTATAAGAAGTCTTAAAAACTCTGAGAAAAGCCATACTCTGGGTGCCCATAGCCCTGTAACCCAATGTAGAGGCTGCTTCCCCCCACACCCCTGCCTGCTTCCCATGCTTCATCGATAATCCTAGATGCTCTTAGTGAAAGCTTGGGAACAAGGCTTGCCATCTTCCTTTTCACAACAAAAAAGACCTACACCAGTGAGAAGATATTGTAGCTCTTGGTAGCAGATAACTGCTTTTGAGATCTAACACAGTCATGTAAGGATAAGGGGCTACTCGGAGAAGGACACTGGCATACATACCTTCAGAAAATGCTGTCAAGGGGTTAGG